CCCCCCCCCCCCCCGACACAATACACCCTCATCATGACTGTATCGGACTGGACAGACAGCCGGTATACATATACTCCTCTTCTGTTCAGTTCACACTTCCGCTAGGTACTGCAAGTCTGCAACCTTCAGTCTTGTCGGCTGAGTCCTGTACCTGATCAGTTATCAATCCGATTTATGTACAGATGTAGGCGCCCCTGTACCAGTTGCTATGGCTTGAGCCCCTGTAGACAATGCTGCTGTCACTCGCATTCACACACAAAGACAAGAATTGTTCTTTTCGGACAGAATCTGGTCGTATCATTACGCTTACCGGTGTCCAGGAAAGCCCTACCTCACACGTGTATAGCTATTGCTACTGTCACTGGCACTACCTTCAGCTTCTATTACGACTGTTGATACGCTAACTAAAGGGCACTCAAGTCTATAATTCTTCTTCTCGGACAGAATCTGGTCATAATCGCGCTCACATGCATCCAGGAAAAGTTCGAATTTGAGTCTGCTCTCACTCTCAACTGCCTCTTTCTCCTTTTATCCCAACCACGCGGTGAATTCAAACTCTCTATCATTGGCCCATGCCATCCTACAGTTCTGCCCGATCTGATTCGGAATCCCATCCTGGCCAATCTGCTGGAAAATAATGCTGTGGCTGACCATGGCTAACAGGACAAAGATATGTCCCCTGAACACAACACACCCTCATTAGTACTGTATCGGGCTGGAAAGATAGCTTGTATACATTCATTATGGTGGTGCATTGTGTTCAGGGGAAGACCACATTCCAGCACATATACAAGCCAGCTGGCGTAGTGTGGCGTAATTGCCGTTGACACCACCACCTATGCTGCCAAACGGAAGAGCGAAGACGCTACCAAATGATGCTCGCCTTAGGGCCTCGTTCCACACCACTGGAGAGCTCTTGAGTTTTGAGTGCGCCCCAACAACAAAATCGTGGTTAATTTTCACTACAACGAATCTTCGTTCCATGTGCACTAGAGGCCGCCCTTGAAATCGGCACCCTTGAAACGAAAACACCCTGGGCCCGCGCTGTTCGGCGCCGCGAAATCCAGTAGTGCGTTTCCCGGACGAAATGATGTCCGTCTTCACATGGGCCCACTCGGTCGAGGGACCGGTGCGGTAGCGCCGATGGAAGTTCGGCAGCCAAGGTCTCCTCGTAAAGGCGGTTGTTAAATCCGCGCGTTCAGTCACCATCTCATCGCCATCTCCACTCCGTGTGCGTGCAAGCGGGGACCAGTTTACCTGAGTGTCTAGTTCCTCGTCGCCACAGACAGCTCCCGGGGTGGGGGGTTTCGGGGGGGGGAGTGTTTGAAGCGGGGTTTGAAGGGCGAGACGGAGGTTGACGCCAGGGCTTCATGCGGTGAGGACAGTGGGCATCGCGGGCTGACAGAACGGGAAGAAGCGTTTGCTGGTGACGGCTTTGGTTGCAGTGCCGACGCACATGCAAACGCGGAATTGGCTTCGGCAGCGCTTGGCGAGAAGACTCGCGGCAAGGGAGGCCATTGTGACGCACGTGATGGTGGATTCGGTGTCCTCTGCCAGTGTGTGGGATGCACTGTTTCTCATGGCTAATGTCGTCTTGGCTGGAGTGCTGTCGGGAGACACCCTGAGGTGGTGGGTTCGGAGGAGGACCGGGGGCACCTGGCAAGATCTCAGCATTGACGACGATGCGAGTGAAGAATACTACCATGAGAAATTGTGGATGACTAGCCACACATTCCACGAGATTGTCGCCGTGTGCGCGCCCTATCTTCAACGTCGACTCACCCACTACCGCAGTCCATTGCTGCCTGAGACCTTCAACAGTGCCACATCGTTCTTCGGCATGGGGAGGTCATCCGGGATCAAGGCGGTGAGGGATGTCACCGATGCCATCTTGTCGGCATACCCGACAAGATCCCCATGCCGACCGGTGGTTGCTAAAAGTTGTGCACGCGTTCACGGCCAAAGGCTTCCCAAACTGCTACGGGTGCATGGATTGCACCCACGTCTACGTGGACAAGCCCACCAACAACCCGTCGGAGAATTATTTCAACCCGCAAACAGCAGTACTTAGTGGTGGCTCAGGTTGTCGTTGGTTTGGACATGCTCGTCATCGACGTGTTCGCCGGCTACCTCGGTAGTGTCCACGACGTGAGGGTGTTGTGGAACTCCTCTTTGTGTAGGCAGGCAGGAACGTTGTTCACGGCGGAGGAGGTGACTCTACCCGGCAGGGTGAGGACAATGGGATACGTGCTCGGGGACTATGGCCCCTTGTCGTGGGTGGTGGTCCCTTATGGCGGAGTTGTGCAGCCCGACGATGAGGCGTACTTGGACACGTGCCACAAGACTGCGAGGAATGTTGTGGAAAGAGTTTTTGGTCGACTGAAGGCCATGTGGAGGTTATTCCTCAGGCACCACAAAACGAACATGGAGAGCATGCCCCCGCAATTCACCGCGGTCTGCATCCTCCACAACCTTCTCATCGAGGCAGGGATCGACTTCGACCAGCGCTTGCTAATGGAGAGAGACGCGAACAGGAATGAGCGCCCGATCGACCTCGGCATGCATGAACCCGCGGCCCCAGTGTCTCAAGCGGATGCCAATGACATCACACTGGAGTTGCGCACGGCACTGACTCGCCACATGCAGCTCCTTCGCGAGTAGATTATGGCAATCTAATATCTTAGCCCGCCTTGCGGGTGCATACACGCGGCAGTGCGTTTAGGGTGTAAGTTACTTCGGCGGCCGTGTGCTACGTAGAGATGGCGCGACCGTTGACCTGCTCGGGGGGGGGGAAGGGTTCGGAGGGGAGGTCAGATCTTCTTTGTTTGCACTGTTTTCGGTTCGATGTGCAAGTCGATCCTTTCGTCTTTTGGCGAAAGCAATCAATGCTTGCACAATAATTGTGTTGAGGTTGTTTGACGTAATTGTATGTTCCACCCTTGGGATTGTGCTGTGAATGCGATTCACGTGTGTTACTTTCTGTACTGCAATTGTGTGCATTCCTAGATGTGTGTGTTCACCCAACACGAAGTAAATGCATGCATAATTAAACAATGCACAACTTGTTGTTTGGCCATTCAATTGTGTAGTCTGACTGAATCATGGTGTGGTGAGTTTGACAAGCACATTGCAAACACATCCAGTAGCAAGGCGGTGAGGGAAAGAATGGAAAAAAAAAAACAGCGAACACAAATAACATGCATGCCATGTGAGTATTGGTAGAATGCACAGACTGGGAAAAAAAAAAATTCCCGATCGGTCACAATTGCAAAACGAACGAAACAACACATTGCTTCTTGTCTGTCGTCGAGCGGTCATTTGCTCTCTCTCTCTCTCTCTCTCTCTCTCTCTCTCTCTCTCTCTCTCTCTCTCTCTCTCTCTCTCTCTCTCTCTCTCTTTCTTTTT